GAATGTCAGTAACTGATCATGGGGGAGGGCCATGTTGGTGGGAGAGAATGTCGGTAACTGTTCTTGGAGGAGGGGTCAATGTTGGTGGGAGAGAATGTCAGCAACTGGTCATGGGGGAGGGGCCATGTCGGAGGGAGAGAATGTCTGCAACTGGTCATGTGAAAGGGCCATGTTGGTGGGAGAGAATATCAGTAACTGGTAATGGGGGAGGGGTCATGTTAGTGGGAGAGAATGTCAGTAACTGCTTATGGGGGCGGGCTATGTTGGTGTGAGAGAATGTCAGCAACTGGTCATGAGGGAGGGTCCATGTTGGTGGGAGAGAATGTCAGTTACTGGTCATGGGTGAGGGCCATGTTGGTGGAGGAGAATGTCAGCAACTGGTCATGGGCGAGGGCCATGTTGGTGGGAGAGAATGTCAGCAACTGGTCATGGAGGAGGGCCATGTTGATGGGAGAGAATGTTATCAACTGGTCATGGAGGAGGGGCCCATGTTGGTGGGAGAGAATATCAGTAACTGATCATGGAGGAGGGGTCATGTTGGTGGGAGAGAATGTCAGCTACTGGTCATGGGGGTGGGGCCATATTGATGGGAGAGAATGTCAGCAACTGATCATGGGCGAGGAGCCCATGTTGGTGGGGGAGAATGTCAGCAACGGGTCATGGGGGAGGGCCATGTTGGTGGAGGAAAATGTCAGTAACTGGTTGGGAAGGCTGAGGACCATGTTGGTGGGAGAGAATGTCAGTAACTGGTCATTGAGGGGAGAGCCATATTGGTGGGAAAGAATGTCAGTAACTGCTCATGAAGGAGGGGGCCATGTTGGTGGGAGAGAATGACAGCAACTGGTCATGTGAAAGGGCCGTGTTGGTGGAGGAGAATGTCAGTAACTGGTCATAAGGGAGGGCCATGTTGGTGGAAGAGAATGTCAGTAACTGGTCATGGGGAAGGGCCATGTTCGTGGGAGAGAATATCAGTAACTGGTAATGGGGGAGGGGCCATGTTGGTGGAGGAGAATGTCAGTAACTGGTCATGGGGGAGGGGCCATGTTGGTGGAGGAGAGAATGTCTGCAAATGGTCATGGGGGAGGGGCCATGTTGGTGGAGGAGAGAATGTCAGTAACTGGTCATGGGGGAGAGGCCATGTTGGTGGAAGAGAATGTCAGTAACTCGTGATGGGTGAGTGCCATGTTGGTGGAGGAGAATGTTAGCAAATGGTCATGGGGGAGGGCCTTGTTGGTGGGAGAGAATTTCAGTAACTGGACATAGGGGAGGTCCATGTTGGTGGGAGTGAATGTCAGTAACTGGTCAGGGGGTAGGGGCCATGTTGTGTGGAGAGAATGTCAGTAACTGGTCATGGAGGAGGGGCCCATGTTGGTGGGGGAAAATGTCAGCAACTGGTCATGGGGGAGGGGCCATGTTGGTGGAGGAGAATGTCAGCAACTGGTCATGGGGGAGGGGCTCTTGTTGGTAGGAGAGAATGTCAGCAACTGCTCATGGGGGAGGGCCATGTTGGTGGGAGAGAATGTCAGTAACTGGTCATAGGGGAGTGGCCATGTTGGTGGGAGATAATGTCAGCAACTGGTCATGGGGGAGGGCCATGTTGGTGGGAGAGAATGTCAGTAACTGGTCATGGAGGAGAGGACCATGCTGGTGGGAGAGAATGTCAGTAACTAATCATGGGGGAGGGGCCAATGTTGGCGGGAGAGAATGTCAGCAACTGGTCATGGGGGAGGGGCCATGTCGGAAGGAGAGAATGTCAGCAACTGGTCATGTGAAAGGGCCATGTTGGTGGAAGAGAATGTCAGTAACTGGTCATGGGGGAGGGCCATGTTCGTGGGAGAGAATATCAGTAACTGGTAATGGGGGAGGGGCCATGTTGGTGGGAGAGAATGTCAGTAACTGGTCATGGGGGAGGGCTATATTGGTGTGAGAGAATATCAGCAACTGGTCATGAGGGAGGGGCCATGTTGGTGGGAGAGAATGTCAGTTACTGGTCATGGGTGAGGGCCATATTGGTGGAGGAGAATCTCAGCAACTGGTCATGGAGAGAGGGCCATGTTGGGGGAGGAGAATGTCAGTAACTGGTCATAGGGGAGGGGCCATGTTGGATTGAGAGAATGTCAGCAACTGGTCATGGGGGAGGGACCATGTTGGTGGGAGAGAATGTCAGCAACTGGTCATGGGGGAGGGGCCATGTTGGTGGAGGAGAATGTCAGCAACTGGTCATGGGCGAGGGCCATGTTGGTGGGAGAGAATGTCAGCAACTGATCATGGGGGAGGGCCATGTTGATGGGAGAGAATGTCAGCAACTGGTCATGGGGGAGGGGCCATGTTGGTGGAGGAGAATGTCAGCAACTGGTCATGGGGAGGGGCTATGTTGGTGGGAGAGAATGTCAGCAACTGGTCATGGAGGAGGGGCTATGTTGGTGGGAGAGAATGTCAGCAACTGGTCATGGGGGAGGGGCCATGTTGGTGGAGGAGAATGTCAGCAACTGGTCATGGG